TATACTCTTGTAAAACCTGCGGAAAAAGTTTCAGTAAAGCAGGTAATTTGAAAGTCCACATGAGAACTCACACAGGTGAGAAGCCATTCTCTTGTACAACCTGCGGAAAAAGTTTCAGTGGAGGAAGTAGTTTGAAAATCCACATGAGAACCCACACAGGTGAGATGCCTTACCTTTGTAACACCTGTGGAAATAGATTTACTCTGTTGTCACAGCTTAAAAACCATATGACAATCCACACAGGTGTAAAGCCGCATTCTTGTTCAACATGTGGGAAAAGTTTCTCTCACAGCACGTCTCTGAAAGTCCACATGAGAACTCACACAGGTGAGAAGTTGTCATCCTGAAACATATATGGAAGAAATAATTTAAACCAGTTAACATTTTTAAAGCACCCTTCGATTGTGCTTCAACAATAATTGTGAGGAAATATGTCAGCAGTCTTTGATGATTAGACCAGATGGAGTCTGGACTCTAGTGGTGGTGGTGGAGCTGGGAGAAGATCCAGGCTGAACATCTGTACGAATGTAGTATTGGTACAGGCTGCTGTATTTTTGGTATCATACTTCATCCTTCATCAGCATAGCAGTGATGTGAGATGTTGCTATTGCTGCCGTCTTTAAAGTGAAAGGAGGCAAAGAAATACTGAGGCGTTATGACAGTAGGACACAGCAGAGTGTGTCATTGCAACAGAAGAGATCTGCACATGAACCTCCTTTGTTTGTTTGTCCTGTTTCAAAGACAGACAGCTGAAGAGATGAAGTGGACTTCTGTTGGTACCTGTAGAAGTAGTTGATACAGTCAAGACAGTCATAGTGTTTCGTTCCACATCCATCATTATATCTTTAAATTTCATTCATCTCATTTCTTCATCAGCAAAATGTCACATACATAGCAGCAAATTCCCCAAACAGAAACCACCTTTACTGATTTAATGTGTGATTTAAAATGTGATCTCCACAGGCTGTAATGCTGTACAGGTCAAACTGTGTGAAAACTACAGCCGTATGTCATGATCTTAATCTGTCATCTGTTTGTTCCCCATCAGTGATTTATTTCTTGATGCATTAATGGAAATGCTAAACTTGTTTTAAACTCCATATTGATTGTAAATAAACTTTAAACAACTGACTGCAGCTCCATGAGTGCTTTGTGAAATGTTTTGAATATATTTTAACAGATTAACATTTACAACCTGTTTAATAATGACTTTAACACTGACGAGCTCCAGCAAAGGTGTTAAGTTGTGAAGAAACTCACAATTAGTTTTACTGGTTGTAGCTGATACACACCCACAAATGTTAAAAAACATGTCAAGCTAGGTTGCAGTTTGTGCTGTTTTAATAAAGACCTTGTGTTGTTTCTTTCTTCTTTTATCACCACATAGGTCATCATTGTGATTTGTTAGTAAGGATCTTATGATGTAGTCAGGTCACTGTTATTTATACAGCACATTTAAAACAACAGCAACTGAGTCAACGTGCTTTCCAGTAGAGAAGTAAACACAATGTCACTAATTTGCCTCACAAGTTTAAATGTTAAGCGCGTACAATATTATTAATGATGTAAAAGTGCCTGACTAACTCAAATATTAAGTTAAAGATCGGGGCTGCAAGGTGGCACAGTTGGCAGCACTGTTGCCTCGCAGCAAGAAGGTGGCCGGTTCGCGTCCTGGTGGGGACACTGGGATCTTTCTGTGTGGAGTCTGGATGTTCTACCCGTGCAGCGTGGTTTCTCTCCGCCTTCTTTGGTGACTCTAAATTGTAGCCCTGTGATAGACTGGTGACCTGTCCAGGGTGTCCCCTGCCTTCACCATAAGTCGGCTGGGATAGGCTCCAGCCCCCCGTGACCCTAGTGAGGATTAAGCGGTGTATAGATAATGGATTGATGGATGGATGAATCCTTTAAATTTCACTGTTAGCTTGTTTGTCAGAGGATTTGCAGTGTGATTGTCTTTCATTTGTAAAGGGCGTTGTGCACATTTTTGCACTTTAAGCGTTAGCTTCAATGATATAATGGACCTCTAGAGTTAAACTTGAGCTGAGATGTCAAGATGTGGTGTACTATCCAGTGAAGGGGATGTTTTTTTTATGTGCAGTGGGGTAAGTCAGATTTTCATGGGAAACTTTCAAAACACAAGCAGTTCTGACCTGTAAACTGAAGAAGAAATAACTGATACTCTGCTCTTTTTCTCAGTAATCAATGAAACTGATCACATTGGATGCAGTGACCATCCTCCGTACAAAGGTCAGATTTCCTATGAGTTGTATCCTTGCATTGAAGGATAAAAGATTCATATAAACAACATGTAAGACATAAATACAGACATTTTAACAAAGTTTTGTGTTGGGTGTTGTGTTATTCTAAATTTTAACAACAGGATTTGAATTTTTATGGCAAATGTATTTTCAGCTACCATTTGTTGTATCATTCTAGGAATCGCTTCGTTTGGTGAAACTCCTTACACACATTGTTAAATGATCTATGAAGGTCATCAAAAGGAGAAATATTTCACCATGACATTTGGATTTTATTTCTATATCTTGTACTCAGTGTAGTCATATATAAAATGAATCAATTT